CCCCCAGCAGCTTGTGCTTTTAAGTGGCTAGGGAGACCATTGTTGCTGCTTTTCTTGCACCCCCAGGCTGTAGGCCTCATTGTCTTGGCTGCACTTATGGGTATACTCTAGAGTTACACCCAAGCCACGTGCCTGGTATTTCCTGCCCTGGGGAGTCCATGTAACTGCTGAGGTATACAAGTAACCTGGAAGTGTGAGGGAGTCATTGTTCGCATGGAGCAAACTTGGACAGGTGGAGACGTGAGCTAGCTGCTAGTGAGAGATATCTGAGAAATACGTTTGCTTCATAAGACATCAGTGCAGAGACAGCTGACCAATTGTTTGTTGTTCCTAGCTGTGGCCAATTTGGCTTCACCTATTTGCTCCTTTCCTGCCCTGCTCCCTTCTTCCATCCATCTTCTTCCAAGGGTTGAACGGACTGATACTGTCTTAGCCCCTAAGCTTTTTGCCTCAAACTCTGCTTTCTAAGGAACCCAGGCTAAGAAAATTGATACCATTTATTAAGTGCTTACCGTATACTGGACATTATTTCAAGCACTTTACGTTATTTTTTGATTACAGCATATATATAACATGAAATTTGCCATTTTAACCATTTTTAGGTGTATGGCACTCTCTTCAAAGTGACTTAAAAGTTAAGGTTAAGCATACAAGTAAAGAATTCATAAGTGTATAGTGCAATGAATTTCTGTAAATTAAACATCTGTTCAAGATATTAAATATTACAACACCAGAGAAGCCCCTCTCTTGTACTTCTGCTAGTTGTTATCCCTTTCCAAAGAAAATCACTATTTGACTTCTATCATTTGTCTGCTTTCAAATCATGCAGTTTATATAAAGAACTCTTTTATGCCTGTGTTCTTTTGCTCGATATTTGTAAGATTTGTAAGATTCTTACAATTTGTTTGTAAGATTCATTGATGTTGTAATGTAGCAGCTGGTTACCCATTTCCATTGCATATAGCATTTCATTGTATGACTATACCTTAATTTATTTATCCATTCTACTGTAAATAGATACTTGGATTGTTTCTAATCCTTGGTTGCTATGAACATTCATGTACATGGCTGTTGGTGCTGGCCACAAAGCCTGTATAGATTTAGCCTTAACAAATACTCTTTAATTCATCACCAACCCCTGCCAAAGTTTACACTCCCAATGTATGAGAATTCTAGTTTTTACATTCTTGCTGACACTAGGTATCATCAATTATTTGTGTGTGTGTGAAATTCTAACCATTCTTTATGTAGTTAGAAATTGTATATAGAGATCTCTATGTCTGTAGACAGTTATTGTTTTAATTTACATTGTTTACTGACAGTGAGGTTGAGCACTATTGCATATAGTTACTGACCATTTGAACACTTTTTTTTTTAAATTTTTATTTATGATAGTCACAGAGAGAGAGAAAGAGAGAGAGAGAGAGAGGCAGAGACACAAGCAGGCTCCATGCACTGGGAGCCCGGCATGGGATTCGATCCCAGGTCTCCAGGATTGTGCCCTGGGCCAAAGGCAGGCGCCAAACCACTGCGCCACCCAGGGATCCCTGAACACTCTCTTTTGTGAAGTGCCTATTCAAGTCTTTTGACCAGTTGTCCCCTTTAAGTTGTCTTAAGTGGCTTGAAGAATTTCTTTACATGATTTGAATATGAACGCCGGTCAGATGTGTGTATTGCAGATGTTTTCCCTTACTTGTGTAGCTTATCTTCTCAACTTTGTAATAGGGTGTTTTTCACAAATTTGATTTTAATAAAGAAAAAGTAGTCCAGATAATATAGAGTACCTTCATGTCCTGTAGAATTAGGCAAAAATTTCCTAAGATAGACACAAAAGCTCTAATCAATAGGCTTAAGAAATCTTTGCCTATTTCAAATACATGAAGCTATTTAGTGTTATTTTCTAGAAACTTTGGTAATCTTTTAACTTGTACCTACAGCCCATCTGGAATTAATTTTTTTGTATGTAGAATGAGGTATAGGTCAAGATTTGGCTATCCCACTGGCCCAGCACCATGTATTGTAAAGATCTGAGTGTGACTTTTGCACACTCAATTAACTAAGTGTAGCTCTCTGTTCCTACGAGTAATTGTTCCACAGAATTTTTTCTCTTCTTTCTCTTTCTTTTTTTCTCTTCTTTCTTTCTTTTCTTTTCTTTTCTTTCTTTCTTTCTTTCTTTCTTTTCTTTTCTTTCTTTCTTTTTTCTTTCTTCTTTTCTTTCTTTTCTTTCTTTCTTTCTTTCTTTCTTTCTTTCTTTCTTTCTGATTTATGAGAGAGAGAGAGCAAGAGCGAGTGAGCACTCAATGGGGAAGGGCAGAGGGAGAAGGAGAGAAAGAGACTGATGCAGGCTTGATCTCATGGCCTGGAGATCATGACCTGAGCCAAAATCAAAGAGTTGGACACTTAAACTACTGAGCCACCCATGCACTCTCAGATTTTCTTTTTTAGTAATATCCTTATGATGTCCGTGTTAAGGTAATTTTGTCCTTATAAAAATCATTGCAAAATGCTCCATGTTCTTCTAGTCTCTGGAAAAGTTTGTATAAGATAGGTGTTCTTTATTTCTTAAATGTTTTGAGATATTCATCAGAAAAGCAATCCAGGCTTGAAGTATTCTTCATGGGTGAAGTTTAACTAGTAAACTTGATTTCTTTAATAGATATGAAGCTATTCATATTAAGTTTTACTTTATATTATTTCTGTTAAATTATTTCTCAAGGAATTTATCAGTTTCATCAAAAATTTCAAATTTATTGCATAAAGTTGTTCCTAACATCTTCTTATTAACTGTCTAATGACTGATGAACAGTAATGACATTTTTGATTTTCCATTTTGGATATTGATTACCTGTGTTGTCATCTTTTATTTTCTTGATCAAGGTGGCTAAAGGTTTGTCAATAGTATTAGTTTTTGCAAAAAAAAAAAAAAAAGGCAAATTTGACTTAATTGTTTCTATTTTCTCCCATTTCAATGATGTGTGTTATTGATGTCTCTTTGTTATTCCTACCTATTTGTTTTCTGGGATTTAATTTGTTTTTCAGCTTTTTGAGATTCACACTTAGATAATTATTTTCAGTCTTTTTTTCCATTTCTAATATTTATAGTTAATGCTCTTTTCTTCTGAGTCTTGAATCTCTTCTAGCATCTGCCCTTTTATCTTTCCCATATATCTGTCATGCTTTTTTCTTGTATTTTTCATCTTTTTTCTGTGCCTCAGTTTTAAGAAAAAATCGCAGAACATTCAATATCAATATTAATAAAGAACAGTTACCTCATTTGTTTGGTGTATATGGAGACTTTTTTTGCCAAGAATACTAAGAATAGTATTTTCTATGACTGCAGTTGTGAAGGAGGCAATAACCATTCAGAATATACATTCTCTCCCTTTGGTTTAGAGATGAATTCAGATACATTAAACTGTAAATAATTTTATATTGAAGCCTGAGATATATGGTAGAGCAGTCATTGTGTTGTTGTTGTTTAAGATTTTATTTATTTGACAGAGAGAGGGAGCACAAGCAAAAGAAGGAGCAGAGGGAGGAGCCGATCCCTGCTGAACAGGGAACATGACCCCTCAGGCCTCCATCCCAGGACCCTGAGATCATGACCCCAATCCAAGGCAGATGCCCAGCTGACCGAGCCACACTGCTGCCCTTAAAGCAGTCATTAGTGAACTTGATTCAAACTTATGGGAAGGATCCCTCAGAGTTTTACAATTTTATGAGTAAGCTTTTTATTTGTAGAATAATAGAGTGGTAAGGGTATTACTATTAGTGGACTGGGGCAAGGGATGCTGTATTCTGCAAAGCAGGAGACAGTACCTTACAAGGGCCAATAGTTAACGTGTCTGCACAACTTTTCATAATCCCACTGGATATTCATGTAGGTGATGTAACTACTTTTTGTTTTATTTTGTTTTGTTTTAGAGGGAGAAAGGGGGAAGACGGTGGGAGAGAGAGAATCTTAAGTAGGCACTGAGCCCTACAGGGGGCTGGATATGAGGATCCTAAGTTCATGACCTGAACCCAAACCGGGTTTCACCCTTTATATCCTGACTCTCTTTTACATATGGACCCTAAAACATTTTCTGCATGGTTCAGATAGAATCTGTTTTCCATGAGTGGTACACAGAGGAAACGTTGTTTTGTCTGGAACTTTATGGAGAGTTAGTCACAATTTTGGGAAATCACATCAACTATCCTACCCTGCCTATGGCGTTTTTGTTTCCCACGCAGCTCACCGATGCTGTGCCAGCAACGGGACGCGCAGTCCGTAGGTGCGTCTACGAGGGGGGCCCAGATAGGCGCGAGCTCCTGCTCACTTCGTGCATCCAGGCTTCACAGGGTAACAAGAGCGTCACGTATTACTTTCCCTTTTTTTTCTTCTTTAAAGGTGGAGCATTGCTGTACATACCGATTTAAAAACTTGGGTAGAGGGATCCCTGGGTGGCGCAGCGGTTTGGCGCCTGCCTTTGGCCCGGGGCGCGACCCTGGAGACCCGGGATCGAATCCCAGGTCGGGCTCCCGTGCGTGGAGCCTGCTTCTCCCTCTGCCTGTGTCTCTGCCTCTCTCTCTCTCTGTGACTATCATAAAATAAAAAAATAATAAAATAAAAAAAAAAAAACGAACATGTGTAGATACATGAGATCATAAACCAGCTGTAGTCCGAGATGATGATTTCATTTCGGGGCTTATCAAGAGAGAGAGGTCCGGAGTCTGATAGGTCGAGAACGACTCGGGGTAGAATCACGTTTGCTAAGACTGATTTCAACACCCAGAAAAGACCCAGCAAGAAACCAAGAAACCTTTCTATGACCGTAGTTTACTGTTATTCGCTAAACTCGTCGTTGCCGACGGCGGCTTCGGCCCCCGAGCGCTCATCGCCTCCGGCCGGAACGCTTGGGCCGCGGGCCGCCGGCGCTCGTGGGCAGGCGCGGCTGGGACTCCGCCCGGAACCTGGGCGCGGTGACGCGGGTTTCCGGCGGGCTTCTTAGAGCGCCGTACAGCTCCGGGCCGCAGGACCATGAGAGGGCCGGAGTCGGGTCCCGAGCTCACGATGGAGGGGGACGTGCTGGACACCCTGGAGGCGCTGGGGTGGGTATTCCCGGGGACGCCCTCCCCCCCCCCCGAAAGCCTAAACTCTGCCCCCGCTTGGCCGCTGCGGTCTCCTCCCCGTGGGCCTCCGCGGGGCTCCGGCGTCCCGGTGCAGGCCTCGGTTCCCGCCGCGCTCCCGCCGGCGCCGACGGAGTTAAGAGGGAGGCGGCCGACGGGTCCGTTTGGGGGTGGAGCGGGGCCGGAGAGCCGGGGCGCGTGGCCCCCTCTTCCAAACGCCTGGCCTGGAGACTCCGCAGCCGGCACCCGCGGGGGAGCCGGCCTGCCACCAGCCCGTCCTCGGAGCGCGTCCCTGCCCCGCGGGTGATATTTTTTGACGTAGTTGTGGCGCCCCGGGCCTGGGGCGGGGGGTGCAGGGGCCCCGACTGCGGCCGGGGGCTGTCGTCTGCCTGCGGTGTACGGCCTGTGGCGCGAAATCTCCTGCTTCCGTGGCCGGGGAAAGTGTCCCAAGTCAGGTGTGGGTTCATTCATTCGACCGTTTCATCCGTTGGTTGGCCACATACTAGCGTGGTGGTAATATGCATTAATGAATGCACTTTTGTGTGCTAGGCAGAGCAAGAAGACCGTTGTCAGGAAACTAGTCGGTCACGTAGTCCTTGGCGGCTACAAAGCGTCTGCCGGAATTGACCATCAAGAATGCTAAGTGCCCCGAGAACTCCTGGGATGACGTTAATACCTCGAAGCACGGGGGATCAGTTCCTGCAGAGCAGTCTCCCTCAGCCTCAGCCTCAGCCTCAGCCTCAGCCTGTTTTTACTCACCGCTGTTGTCCTTATCCCGAGTTCACTCGTCCTGGCTGTTTCTTAAGCCTCTCTTGCACTGCCAACCCCCTCACCCCCAGCACCAGGAAACTAGGAGCCTTACCTGTCTTGTTCTAGCAACATCCTGCAGTGAGGTCTGGAAGAATGAATGAGGGTTGAATGAATTGGGTGTATGAAAAGTTCAAGGAAGAGACAGCATAGACATACGGCCAGTTTAGGCTAAAAAAAAAAAAAAATACACCTTACTTAAAGAGATTGAAGCCATCTGCACGGTTTCCCTTGCCACATGCTGGAGTCTTTCTGTCTTTTCTTTTCTTTCTTTCTACATTTCTACATTTCTTTATTAGAAGACAGCACGAGGGAGAGAGGGAGAAGGAGAGAATCTTAAGCAGACTGAGCAGGAGCTGGAAACGGGGCTCAATCCCAGGACCCTAAGATCATGACCTGAGCCCAAATGAAGAGTCAGATGCTTAACTGACTGTGCCACCCAAGCCCCCCAGTGTTGGAGTTTCTTGAATAGGGTAGGCTGTGCCATTGCAGTTCTATTGTGAAGCTTGAAACCCCCAACCCATTTTTTTTTTCGTTTTTTCTAGAACTATACTTGCTCTTCTTTTTTTTTTTAAACAAAAAAAATATATTTTTTTTATATTTACTTATGATAGTCATACAGAGAGAGAGAGAGAGAGAGAGAGAGGGCAGAGACATAGGCAGAGGGAGAAGCAGGCTCCATGCACCGGGAGCCCAATGTGGGATTTGATCCCGGGTCTTGAGGAACACACCCTGGGCCAAAGGCAGGCGCCAAACCGCTGCGCCACCCAGGGATCCCTATACTTGCTCTTCTATCAGTTGCTCCTTCTGGACCCCAGTAACACCTCCTTTGCAATGTTACAGGGCGTTGCACTTAGATCCAGAGTAAATGTTTTGTCACATGAAAGAATTGAGCCACTGATTATTTAAGGGGCATTTTTATTCTGTGAAATTTTCACCTAACTTGGTTAAGGAGGTAAGCAAAACAAGAAGTTAAAATACTTACTAGAAGTGTATAGACCCCAAGTAGTTTGAGATCCCAAGTCTTTCAGATAAAAGTAGTACGATTCTGTAAATAGTTTCTGAAGAAGAGGGGCACCTGGGTGGCTCAGTGGTTGAGCCTCTCTCTGCCTTTGGCTCAGGTCTTAATCCTGGGGTCCTGGGATTGAGTCCCCTGCAGGGAGCCTGCTTCTCCCTCTGCCTGTGTCTCTGCCTCTCTCTCTGTCTCTTGTGAATAAATAAATAAAATCTTAAAAAAGTGTATGAAAAACAGAAAGTCAGTGCTTTTTTCTCTTCATTCCTTGAATTTCTTTTCTTTTAGAAATTTATTTATTTTAGAGAGAGCTGAGGGGACGGGTGGAGATGGAGAGAGAAACTTAAGCAGACTACACTCTGAGCACAGACCCTCATGAGTGGCCCAGGCTCACAACCCTGAGATCAGGACCTCAGCAGAAACCAAGAGTCAGATGCTTAACCAACTGTGCCACCCAGGTGCCCTGAATTTGTTTCTATCATAGGTGTTTTGAAAAATGAACTTTGGTATAATCTTGACTTTTACCAAGGAAAATTTATTTCAGATTATTCAGTATGAAAATTGAAATAGTTTATATACTTTAGAATTGATTTTTCCTGGAATAACTGAGGATGAGATTTTGAAGCTTGATTTTTCTTACAATGATAAATGTGGAAAGTAATTTTTACTTACAATATGTGTTGTAATTGAACACTTAAAGTATCCCTGTAGTTTGTGAATAATGCATATTCTGTTGTGACTGAAACATATAGGATATTAGTGAAAGTACTTTAGTTTTTCAGGTAAAATTGGAAACTAAAGGGAGGAATTAAAAGGGCAAATCTATGTGAAAGAAGAGTTCAGTAATATACATGAAAACTGGGTGGGAATAACTTTGTTTCCTCATCTGAAAGGAGGAGGCTAGAGCACATGGTTTCAGAAGTCTTTTTTTAGTTTGACCATCTATGATTTTGTAGAGTAGGTCTTAGCCATGGTTGTGCATCAAAATCTTGTATAGAGCTTGTAAAATAAAATGTTCCAGTCTGTTCTTTACCATACTGACTGGATCATGATGTTTAGTGGTGCAGTATAGGCATGCATATTTTTAAAAAACTTCACAGCCTAGTTGAGAATCAGGATTATGGAAGAAAGTTTATTTTGGTTATTTATTGAGCACAACTTCTGAGAAGTCATTGGTGAGCAAAATTGATCCCTGTCCCTGTGTTATAGTCCAGTGGAGAAACATATGATCGCACAAACATTAAAATTTGTAATAAGCGCTTTAAAGGAAGAGAGCAGGGTCACATGACATGATAGGAGGACCTGTGTAAGGACAGGACAGGAGGAAGACAGGAGTAAACTAGGTGAGGTTGGATAGGAAAGGAGGACAATGGTGTCCTTAAAGTAAGACTAAAGTGTGAAAGCCCTTGAAGGGGAAAGGAGCTTGCTGTGTTAGAATAACTGGAACAAGGCCCATGTGGCTGGAGGGCAGAGAACAATGGCCAACATACTGGAAGATTTGATTGAAGGCGTGAAGCACCTTTTAGGCTGCATTGTGAATTTTGTTCTTTGCCATAATAGCAATGGGACATGATTGAAGGATTTTAAATAAAAAAGGGAAAGTTCAGGTATCTAGTTTGAAAAATTACCTCAGTAAGGTTGGAGAATTTAGTACGGCAGGAAGTGAAGACTGCTCAGTGGATGTGGACTTGGAAAAAAGTGCACATTGTAGGACTTAGTGATTGATTGGATAGTAGAGCTGAAGGAGATGATGGTATCAGAATTCATTTCTTCAATAAGTATTTGTTGAGCACCAAAATGAAATGATGCACATAAATTAGGAAGGGAAGAAAATGAAGACAGCAAGGAGGTGGGAAAAACAGAGAATATGGAGTGACCAATGGAATGGAGGTAGAGATGAGATCCAAGGATATTTGTAAGTGAGTGGTCAAAAGAGCAAGCTGAAAGGATAGGTAGTAGGTTGTGGTCAGGGAGTGACACGTTCGAATTATTGATTTTGGAAGTAGAGTAGTTCCCCGTGATGGAAAGGTCTGAGGGGTGGCTCGCTGACCTGTAGTGGCAAAGGTCAGAAAAGGGAAGGTTCAGGAATTGAGAGCTCAGGGTACTGCATAGGATATGCATACAGACAAATGGCAGACATAGGAATAGAGAGGAAAACCGAGCACAGGGAGTGCTGGGGTGTGTCCAGGCAATTAATAGGGGAAAACCACAAGGGAAAGAGTGTGCTCTGAGCCTAGAGAGAGAGAAGGAGGTATTTATAAGATGGTGGGGGACCAGTGATACATATGGATGCTGTTTTGGGAAGCAAGGAGGGCAAAAACCTTACCATCTGACCGTGAAGAACTTCAGAGAGTAAAAACACCAAAGCTAGAGGTGGTAGGGATAACCTTTCTGATTATCAATCTAGGCAAGTTGTTTATGGATGAAACAAAGTGGAAGAGTTTGGGAAGCTGGAAGTGGAGAGCTGGATCAGAGGCAAGCCAGTAGGATGTATAAATGACAGGGAAGGAAAGGGTCTCATATTTTATATGTTGGCTGATGGAAATGGAAAAGAGAAAGCAAATTAGGCACTGGTTGTTGTCTGTAGGGGTTGCCAGTAGCCCTAATGGATTGAAGATTTGGATTACCCAGCTTGTAGCAGTGTCAGACCAGCAATTGTGGTTCCCATATAGATGGCCCTGGGAGTTTAGGGGAAGTGTCCCCAGTGTTTGGAATAAGTAACCCTTTCCTAATTAAATAAAAATACGTAGAACAAACTAAGAACATAATAATCCTATCTTACAGGAAATTGTGGCAATTAAGAGAGATAATGCACATAAAGCACACGGCACTGGCCTAGCTTAATAGAGCAGTATTTGGTGTTAGTTGCCATTATAATTATGCTTGTTATTAGATGTTCAGTTCATTTTTCTTCTTTCTATTTTTACCTGACTTGATGAGCTGAGTCACTAGAGTTTGTGGGGTTTTATTCCCTTCTAAATTCCATACTTTTGGTGATTTAAAACATTTTATTGAATGTTATAATTGGCATTTCAGTTAAAAATAACATCACCAATGATATGAATTAAATTTATTCAAGAGCTAATGATTATTTCTTTATTATAGAAATGAAAACAAGTTGGGGAAAGAAGATCTTTACTATTAAATCTCAAGAGGCACTGTGAGATATGGAGGAAAAGTAACACGTAGAAGAATCAGCTGCAGAGACAGTGGTCTACAGCTCTCCCTTTACCTGGCTGTGTCACCTGGCCAGGTTATTTGCTTACTTTCCTTATTAGCGTAGACAGAAGTTTGATCTCACATGGAGTATGTGGGTTCAACTCTAGATTTCAATCCTCATATCATTACGTAGTTACTTATCTTCTGATCTTCCAGAATTAAGATCAATCATGCTGACTTCAAAGCATTGCTGTGAAGACTAAATGAATTATAAATAAATATAACTATCAGCATTATGGCTGTATCTTTATCTGTTAATGCATGTCTGCTACTATACCTGGCCAGCTGCTTGAGGCAGGTGTCTTAACCTCATGAAGCCTTGATTTCTTACCTGTCTGTAAAATGGGGATTTGAAAATATTCCCCCTTCATGAGGTATGACTAGAGAATTCAGAGAAAAAGCAAAAGCAAATGGTCTTTAAACATATGAAAAGATTTACATCCTTGTTCTTAAGAGAAATGTAAATTAAAACTATACTGAGATACCAGATGGTGAAAAAAATCTAATTGTTTGACAACTTTGGTGAATTATGGGGGAATGGGTACTCTTACACTTTGATGGTACAACCCCTGTAGAGGAATATTTAATAGCATGTAGCAAAGTTACATGCCCATTTACCCTTTGACCCAATAATCCCGCCTCTAGAAATCTATCCCAGGTATAAACTAACAAAACTTTGCCAATTTTTTTATAAGAGCAAAACACTGCAAATAACCCAAATGTCCTTTACTAGTGACATAATACTCCGGACAATAGAGTACTGTACACCTAAAAATAATTGAGTAGTATCTCTGCTGATCTCCAGTGCAGTTGACCCAGCGTAGATTTGAGTTGTGTGGGTCCACTTATACATAGGCTTTTTACTGTAAATATATGTGCAGTACTGTGAAACTCTTAAGATCTTTTTAGTTTATAGTAAGAATACAGTATGTAATACATATAAAGTATGTGTTAATTAGCTGTTTATATTGTCAGTAAAGCTTCCATCAGCAGTAGGCTATTAGTAGTTTTTTGGGGGTAGAAAGTTATATGCAAATTGGTGACCACGTGGGGGTTGACACCCCTAACCCCTGTGTTGTTCAAGGGTCTGCTGTATATGAAAATGTATGTGAGTGTGTGTATGTGTTTAGACCAAGGAAGAGAACGGTGTATAGTGGTGAACTACCTTTACCTAAAAAATAAATATATATATGTATGTTTATATTTAAAAACATGGAATGGCAGCCCCAAACTAATGAACATGGTTACAAAGGGGAGCTGGGAGAACAGAGTAGAGGGAACAAGATTAAGATTGCAAACTAAATTATTTTGAATGTACCTTGTTTGGTAAATTAGACTTTAAAACAATGTGAATGTTTTACATAATTATAAAGCAAAATTAAATAAAATGAAATCAAGACAGAGATAAATTACTAAAATTTGAAAGCAAAATGAAATGTTTATCAGTATATTGAATAGGTAGTTTCATCACATAGAAAGGAATTGTTTTTTGACACATCCTTACTGGAATATATTCTTTTTTTTTTTTTTTAAGATTTTATTTATTCATTCATGAGAGATACACAGAGAAAGAGAGAGAGGCAGAGTCACAGACAGAGGAGAGAGAGAGAGAGAGAGAGAGAGAGGCAGAGGCACAGACAGAGGAGAAGCAGGCTCCACGCAGGGAGTCCAATGTGGGACTCGATCCTGGGACTCATCCTGGGACTCCAGGATCACGCCCCGGCCCGAAGGCAGGCGCCAAACCACTGAGCGACCCAGGGATCCCCTGGGTGTTCTAATATATGTTCTAATATACGTTCTAATAATATGTTCTAATGATTAAAAGGAAAAATTGTTTTCAGCAATTTGTTAATAATTCTGGTTTTCCTATTCTGAAGCTATCTGTAATTTATATCTATTTTTATATGTACTGAGATTCTGTAAATGTCATTAGAAAACAGTTTTCATTCTAAGGGAAAATAAAAATGTAAGACAAATAAGTAAATATCCTACAATTTAAAATTTGAATTAGAAATAGTATGAACTCATGATGTAATTTCTCTTAAAAAGATATACACACAGTAACTCCTCTTTAGTACCAGATTGTTTATTCTAAGTACCATTAAAAAGAATCAGTGCTTTTTGGAGAAATAGCCAATTCTAGGTATAAGGCAGGAACATCTTGTTATAGAAAGCAAGGAAAGTACTCAAAGAATACAGGTAACAAGTCAAAGGATTCCTTGGCCAACATGAATGTGTTCCCAACAAGCAGAGGTAGGACAATTTAAGTATCAAAAGAAAAAATAACTGCCAATGGGTTAAAATCTATCAAATATGTTAAAATCTAAAAGTTTATAATGTTGGGCAGCCCCGGTGGCGCGCAGCGGTTTAGCGCCGCCTGCAGCCCAGGGCGTGATCCTGGAGATCCGGGAAGGAGTCCCACATCGGGCTCCCTGCATGGAGCCTGCTTCTCCCTCTGCCTGTGTCTCTGCCTCTCTCTCTCCTGCTCTGTATCTCTCATGATTAAATAAAATAAAATCTTAAAAAAAAAATTAAGAAGGTAATGAATTGAAAATAGATAATGCTAGAAATCAAAGTTATGAAGATGGAAACTAAACTTCGCTGAATTAAAAAATGAAAATTAAAAGTTTATAATGTTAAAAAAATAAAGTTCAGTTTCAGGAAGAATAATAAAAGTAGAAAACTGAGTAGAAAATTGAGTATATAACTCAATGAATTGTAGAAAATTGAAGGTTCTATTCAAATATATTTTGTAGCAGTGTTTAAAAGGATAAAATTATAAATGGTTTAGGTTAAAATGATCTTATAGGTCCTTTTCAGCTTTAATTTAAAATTTACATCTATTCTTTTGCTAATTTTTTTTCAGTTTCTTGTAACTTGTATATGGTTATTAGACTCTGCTTTATTTGACTTAGTGTTGTAATATTTATCTTAAAATTGATAATTTTACTAAGAAATGATAAAATGTAAGAAAAAAGCCAAATGTCAATTAAATAGGGCAGAAATTGGCAAAACATGTCTGTAATAGACCCAATAGTAAAAATTTTAGGCTTTGCTGACCATACTATCAACTCTGCAATTGCATTGTGAAAGCGGCCAGAGACAGTCTGAATGGATATATTTTTTGGCTATGTTTTGCAAAAAGTTTATTTACAAAAATAGGCAGCAGGCTTTGATATATAGAGTACTATCAGGTTTTTTTTTTTTTTTTAACCTTTTATGTCTTCCTTTCTAGGTATAAGGGACCACTGTTAGAAGAGCAAGCCCTTGCCAAGGCTGCAGAGGGTGGACTATCTTCACCTGAATTTTCAGAGCTCTGTGTTTGGTTAGGCTCTCAGATTAAATCATTGTGCAACTTGGAAGAAAGTATCACTTCAGCTGGTATTGCCATTATGTTTTACTTACTTTTGTGTAATAGTAAAGTGAAATGGTAGCTTATGATTTATAGTTTTTTTTATTTATAGTTTTATCTACAAAGTTTCTACAAAGAAAAATCATTAATATTTTGAAGAACTGCCGCATGTGATAATAAATATCTTTGGATTAAATTTTATATTCAAATTGGTTCTTAAATTTACATAAGATTATAAACAATGCTTATGGTAGAAAAAGTAGAGTCTGAATTTGATTATTTAAAAAGTTTAATTTTTGAATACTGCTTATTTTAAATTAAGGTTTTGCTTTTTTAAGGTAATTTAAGTTGTATTTGTAAGCCTGTAACTCAGGACATGGGTTCGCATAGGAATACTATTAAAAAAAAAAAAACCAAACTCACTCCTGTGCTAGCTAAGAAATGTTTAATTCATTACTGTCTTTGTAACAGGAGTCCTTGTGGGTTTTCAGTTGGTGGAATTTGAGATGAACTAAAATGGAAAATAAGAAATTATTGAGCATTTGATAGGGTGCAAAGTAACCTTCCCTTCTGAAGCTATCCTTACTTTTAAATTATTTTCTTTTCTGTCACATCCAATAGAATTCACTTGAAGCAAAGTAAAATTAGCTGAATTTAAAACATGTGGCACACAAATTCTTACATAATTAGATTATGAAAGAAAGATAAGCAGTGAGGCTTAATTAGATGATTGTATTTATTATCTGAATCTATAAGAAATACAGTAGAAAGAGATTGTTTGCTCTGAAGCCAATTAATTATAGCTGTAGTAACGTTTTTGGTATTTCAGTTACTAACAAAATATTTCCAGTTTATCTGATTTTGTGGAAAGTCCATTGGAAAATAGTTAACAGGGATTGAGATATAAAAATACTTATCTCATAATTAGATACTTAAGTTCTTAAATTTAAGTGTTACTTTATTTACATAGAAATTGTTTGATTACTTAAGGGTTAGGGTCACACTTGTAAGGATTTAGTATCAAATTGAAAATTTATAATTGAATGTAAAATCAACTAGTGGTAGATTTTACAGTTTCATATTACATGGTAAATACTCAGTAAGTCTTTTATGATTTTTCTTTAAAGGGAGAGATGATCTAGAAAGCTTCCAGCTTGAGATAAGTGGGTTTTTAAAAGAAATGGCATGTCCGTATTCCGTACTCGTATCAGGAGATATTAAAGACCGTTTAAAAAAGAAGGATGACTGTTTGAAGCTTCTATGTAAGTTATCTTTCTTTGGATATTTAAACTCGTGTTTGATGTGGTTTTTGTTATTTTCAGGATTTATGAAATTTCATTAGTGAAAGCTTTAGAAATTTTTATGTTAAAGGTTTTAACATTTTACTTAAAATATGAAGCTGACTTAGAGATACTTATATAAACATTTGTAATGTGCTAAGATTTCTAACACTTAGGATTTATTTGGCCAATATAGAATGCCCTGTGTTTGTGATTTATATATTATTTTAGTTATTTTTCCTTCATGTAATTCATCTTTCAGCATTTATGATTATATTACTTAAGTTGGTCAGTTAGAGTCCTATTTATTCTTAAAACTCTCTGAAACTAGGTAGCTAAGTAGATGATTTTGTTTTTAGTGATAGGCATTGAATGACCATTGGTTCAAAAATATTTACTGATCATTGATTATTGTACTAGAAACTGCTTTAGGCACTAGGGTTATATCATTTTTTAAAAATTTGTATTCTCTGACCATTTGAATTCTAGTGAGTGTGACCTGTTTTTGTCACTGGTGAGTTTGGAGTATAGATTACCTTGTATCTAAACAATTACCATAAATAATATATCTATTTGTATTGGTGTCCTTTAATTTTTTAAATTCAGTTTAATTTCATGCTATTTTGAAAGTTCTTTAGACAATGGCCGTTTGAAAGAATTTTTCTAGTGTCTTCTATTATTGAAGATTCTGTTATTTTAAGCTGTGCCATTTATAAAAAGATCCATGTGAAGTATTCCTTGTAGGATGTAGTGTTAATAACGTTTGTTTTGTTGGTACAGAAATCATAAGTGTTTAGTGCTAGTGATTGTAGTGTTGACATTTGAATTACCTTTTGGGTATTGGGAATAAAAATTATGTGTCCCTATTCCCCCATTTCTTACACTGTTTCCCCATCTTTCATTTAGTATGAGTCACTGATTTAGTAAACCATTGTTAATAATGAGAGGTCACAGTAACCCTTAAATACATTGGGATAGAAAGGAAACTAAGAAGCAGTGGCCTAGAGGAACTTGTATGCTGTTAGTGAGAACTGTGTATTCCATTGTGTTTCCCTTTTTGTATTATCTGCTAAAAATCTGAGCAATAATAGCAATGCAAGTTTTGGTTCAGGTAAAAGTAAAGAGGAACTATAAGAGAAATTGTTACAGATTTTTCTGATTATGAAAATACATGCCTGAAAGGTGGGGCAAAGTATGGAATTAGTGTTAAATGGGTACAGTATCAGGGAAGATAAAAATGTTCTGGAGTTGGGTTGTGGTGATGGTTTCACAACAGTGCAAATGTACTTAATGGGGATCCCTGGGTGGCACAGCGGTTTGGCGCCTGTCTTTGGCCCGGGGCGCGATCCTGGAGACCCGGGATCGAATCCCACATCGGGCTCCCGGTGCATGGAGCCTGCTTCTCCCTCTGCCTGTGTCTCTGCCTCTCTCTCTCTGTGACTATCATAAGTAAATAAAAAAAAAAAAATTTAAACAAATGTACTTAATGCTACTGTATGCTTACAAATAGAATGGTAAATTTTACATATTAAGAAATTATATACTCATCATAGAAATCTTACAAAGTAGAAAGAGTTGTAAAGAAGAAAATCATTGATAATCTCATTCCCCAGAGAGATTCATTAATAACTTCTTGGTGTATTTTTTTCTTCTCTTTTTCCATTCTACACATACATTTAAGTAAGACTGAAAGTCTATCATAGATGCAATTCCTTCTCTTCCTTTTTTGTATATGTGATTTGCAAATATCTTCTCCCATTCTTCTCTTCCTTTTTTCCCATTTAATGTGTTGTGAGCATTTCCCCGTCACTTAATATTTTTTTTAAATAATTTAAATTGGCTACATAATGCTGTAGACATAACATTTTTATAAAATGGGCATTTAGATTCTTTGCTATTTTTAATTCGTTGTTCATCTTTTTGTGGGGGGTTACTTTTACTTAAAGATTTTGAACATTTAAAAATAAAGTCTTGTTGTGTGTTGCCATACTTTGCCCCAGAGATCTTATACCAGTTCATAGCCTTACCACCATCTCTTCCATCTTTATCTTGAGTTTGACTCTCTTTAAAACATACTGCTATAAGAAGCCTCTTGATATTTTTCTTGGACTTGTTTGCAACATGTATAAAGAAAAAAGGCCCAAGTCCTTACTATGTGAAGAGCTTTTATAAATCAAGAAGAAAAAGATAAAAACTCACTGGAAAAATCTGTACAGCACAAAAGAAATGAACTGGCACTCTATAGAAAACGTTTTAAAAGAGTTGCTAATAAGCATGAAAAGATGCACAGTATTCATCAGAGTTAAAAAGTTACAAAAATAAAATGACAGAATACTATTTTTTACTTAAACCCATGAACCAACTTCTGCTAGCTTCAAACTTTTCTTCTGTAGCTTCCTCACCTTTGCGAGCCATCATAGAATTGAGTTAGGGCCTTGCTCTGGATTAGATTGGTTTAAGGAATGTTGTGACTGGTTTGGTCTTCTATTCAGACCACTCAGACTTTCTCCATACAGCAGAGCAGTAAGGCTGTTTCACTTCTTTGTGTGTTCCCTGGAGCAGCACTTTCAGTCCCCTTTAAGAATTACCAAAATGTGACACAGAGATACGAAATGAGCAAATGTTGGAAAAATAGTACTGGTAGACTTGCTCAACACTGGGTTGCCACAGATCTTCCAGTTAGTACAAAACACATTTATCTGTGTAGTAAAGTGAAATGCAATAAAACAAGGTATGTCTGTAATTTTAGATGATACTTCTCAGCTGACGTTGAAACTGCTGTGTTGTGGGATGTGTTTGTAGTGTGCATTTATAACTTTAAACAAAAACAAAATCTAGTATTTTAACTATTACAGTGAAAGTTAATTTTTTTTTTTTAAGATTTTATTTATTTATTCATGAGAGAGACAGAGAGGCAGAGACACAGGCAGAGGGAGAAGCAGGCTCCATGCAGGGAACCTGATATGGGACTCGATCCCGGGTCTCCAGGATCACGCCCTGGGCTGAAGGCGGTGCTAAACCGCTGAGCCACCCAAGGCTGCCGGCAAAATTTTTTTGAAAGACTTTATTTATTTATTTTTAGAGAGATAGAAAGCACAGGTAGAGGGGCAGAGGGAGAGAAGCAGGCTCCCCGCTGAGTGGGGAGCTTGAAGGGGGGCTTGATCTCAGGTCCCTGAGACCACTGACCAAAATGTATCAGACTTTGCTTATGAGTACTTTCCCAGGTCCCTCTGATTTTGAGACCTTATTAAAATGTCACCAGTTTTGTAAACATTTATATTTGATAACTTCAGTTTTTCCCTTCCCCCAGCCCCTGAAAACCACCATTCTCCTCTGTGCTTTGTGAGTTTGACTGTGTTAGGCTCCTCATAAAAGTGATATCACATAGTATTTGGCCTTCTGTGTTTGGCTTATTTTACTTTGCATAATGTCTTCCAGGTGCATCCATGTAGTCACGGCTGGGTTTCCTTTTTTAAGGCGGAATAATACTCCATTGTGTGTATATACCACATTTTCTTCATCTGTTGAAGGGCACTATGTCCTACTACAAAGGGATAGCAGTGCAAATCTCTTTGAGATCCCGATTTTAAGTCCTTTGGATATATACCTAAAAGTGGATTTTTAAGTTCTTGTATATTTTAACATTTTATTTTTGCCTTTTTTATCATAGTATTTTTAAGTACAGAGCTTCAAGCTTCACAGATACTGCAGAATAAGAAACGTAAAAATTCTCAATTAGATAAAAAAAGTGAAATTTATCAAGAAGTTCAAGCTATCTGTGATACTCTTGGTGTACCCAAGTCAGCAACTTCTGACATTCCGCTTATGCTAAACCAAGTGGAATCAAAGGTACTGTATTTATTTTTTTTGTTTCCTCAAAATGGAATTAAATACTAACATATAAATAAATATTGTATTAAAAATGAAAATATTTCCTTTAAGGTACATTCCGTTTCAAAAGAATTTTATCTTCTGTTAACCAAATTTTGGATTTTGAATTAATATGCATGTGACTTAATTTGCCTATAGCTAATGTTCAGGAATCTGATCTTAATGAGTGAGGGCCCTTAGACTTTTTTGAGTTTTCTTTGATAGAAATCACTTTGCAAGTTAAAGGATCCCTTTCCTAAATAAAGTTCTACTGTAGTATAATGAAAGAAGTAGAGTAATTTTCAAAGTCAAAGGCAAACTATATTTTTTAAAAAAGAATATTGTTAAAAAAAGAATATTGTTAATAGAATTGTAATATGGCTGTCTTTGGCAGTGAGCAAGCACAGTTTCTAGTGGATAGGTGTTTAGTAAGTGTTCGTTGTTTAGAGAATGAATGAATGAGTACCCTGCTGTAGTTAGAAACAACCACAAACTGTATACATTAAAATTTTTGAAATTTTCTCTTTAGTTCTTAAACTACCCTTCTTGCCTGTTGAGCCACTAATAAATTAGAATGCTACTCTTGCACACCAAATTCATCCTGGTTCCTAGGAGTCCTCTAGGAGAATAATACAGGATTCATTTTAAAGGAGAACATTCTTGCTCTTAAGAATATGTACTAAAAGCCATTTTTAGACATTCTGTGTTATACAAAATCCTTAAATAAAATACTTGTGCTTTGATAATTTATGAACTGAAAAATAAAAAGCTTTGTCTTCATTGAACATAAGAGAATTTTGGTATCATTAAAATGAAAACACAGTTTAAAAAACATTTTTTCTTTTTGTGGAACCTGCAGACCAAAGAAAAATTCTGTGAATTGCCCAAAAACATTGTTCTGGAATTAACAACTTTCTCTTCAGTACTTATTTTCTCTTTTTGTCTGGATTAAGAATGATCTGGGATTGGCTAAATTGTGTGGGGTAATTTCAAATTAAGACAGATTTCTAGGCTCTTTCTAATCTTCCAGTGCTTCTGTATATTGATCCCAAAGAGGCTTTTCCCTTTTATGGGTCTCAGTATTAAAAATATCTCCAAACCTCTTGTTTGCCTACTTGAAGTAGGCCATAATGCCTGTGTTCAAATGCTGGCAGGTTAATTATAAGATAGTTGTTACTATGGTCATTGTGGCCAAATACTTACCTAAAAAGATTTTTTTTCTCCATTCAGTTCCTATCAAAAGGAGAAATTTCCTTATTGTACATGTGATGTGTTCAGAATACACTTTGTCATCATTTGGGAAGAAAATTATTTTTTAACTTGAAGGTGTTCAAATGTGAATCTAATGTAATTATAGTAATAGTGGCAGACATGGTATTTGCTGTTCTAAATATTTATATGTAATAACTTTTAATTCTTTCATCATATATATTTATGTATGATTAGGTAGTTACTACTATTATCTACAACAGACGTATGAGGAGACTGAGGTACTGAAAGATTTAATAAATGGGACAAGTATGTTTTGGAGTAGTAGTGGTAGACTTGAGATTTGAACATAGGCAACCTCCAGAGTCTGTGCCTTTAGCCCTCTCTATTTGAGTTAATTCTCAAACTTGCTAAAACTTGTCCAATGTTGAAATCCTGGGAATGGGGATCCCTGGGTGGCGCAGCGGTTTGGCGCCTGCCTTTGGCCCGGGGCGTGATCCTGGAGACCCGGGATCCAATCCCACATCGGGCTCCCGGTGCATGGAGCCTGCTTCTCCCTCTGCCTGTGTCTCTGCCTCTCTCTCTCTCTCTGTGACTATCATTAAAAAAAAAAAAAAAAAAAAAAGAAATCCTGGGAATGGAGCTGGATGCGATTATGTGTAAGAAACTGTAAGTATGCTTTCAGAATCCCTTTTGAGTGAGGGGTTACAACTCATACTTTTAGTAATATATGAAATGATCAAAAGTGGAGGTATGTACAATAGTTGGGAAATCTACAGAAATTGAATATCTTAAAATAATAACAATATGTGAGAATTGTATCATTGTTGAACAGGCTGACTTGGCCACGAAACTAATAAAACTTAAGCTTTGGGCCACTCATTTGCAGGAGTTCTTTCCAAGCTAATTAAAAAAAAAAATACAGCTTTCTGAAGATAGAGTTCACATATCATAAAATTCACAAACAAAATAGGTAAATTTTAGTATTTTTAAATTATATTTAGTATATTTAGAGAGTACAGCCATCATCCAAATTGAATTTTAGAACATTTCCATCACCCTCAAAAGAAACCTTGTGCACATTTATAGTCACTCGCCATCACCACCACCAGTTTCTAAGCTAATTTTGTGGTCACAGTTTTTTTTTTTTTTTTAAGATTTTATTTATTTATTCATGAGAGACACAGAGGGAGAGGCAGAGACACAGGTAGGGGGAGAAGCAGGCTCCCTGCGGGGAGCTGCATGTGGAACTCAATCCTGGGATCATGCCCTGGGCCAAAGGCAGAAGCTTAACCGCTGAGCCACCCAGGCGTCCCTGTGGTCACAATTTTTAATTCTTAAAGAGTGCTCCTGACATTAAATAAGCTTCATGTTCCTCAAAAATCTCTTGATTATTTTCCCTAGTTACCTTATAACTAAGAAACTGTAGATAGGCCATTTGGCTTTGAAATTGTTTCTTTAGATAATCAAGTTACTTCCGTTAGGAGGGTTAGCCCAACTTAGGCTATCATTTTTCAGTCGTTTTCTTCAAGATAAATTACTGTTATTGGAATGGCTGATATCGTGAAAACAAAGACAAATGTCTAATATCTTTTTCACTAAAATAAAAGTGTTGGCAGTAATTCAAATTAGTGGCTTTGGAAAAGTAATGAAATGTGTATGTGGTGACTATAATTTAGAGGGCTTGCTTTCCTGTTGTCTTGCTGAACAGTGGAATCAGAATGCTTAGAATTGGAATGTGTATAAGAGTGTGGATAAGAGTGTGCTATTTCAAGGAGAAATTCCCAAAATTATTTTACATAAGTCTGTACAGATTTTCATAGTAAAACCTTTCAGTAACTACTTTCTATACTCGTCTGTGTACATTATTTCTTACTCTGGAAAAGGTGTGCTATAGTTTGAATTCATATAGCTAATGCTTCTTTGAAAAAGATACTCTTCATTGTGGTGATATTCTTTCCTGGTATGTGAAGGTATATTTCAGTTATTTCACTTTAACATTTCATTTACTCTTTAGCATTCAAAACAACATCTTAAGAAAGAATAAGATTATTTTAATTAGATATATAATTTTCACAATCTTCTATATTTACTTTTAGGTGAAAGATATTCTCTCAAAAGTCCAGAAAAATCATGTGGGAAAACCACTGCTGAAAATTGATTTAAATCTGGAACAAGCGGTAAATTCTCTCCCTTTATTAGTTTTATGTAATTAAATTAGTGAATATGGCTTAATTTTATTAGTGGACACCTAGATTTTATAATAAGTGGCATGCATTTATTATTTTGGAGAATTAAAATGGATTGATAGCATAGAGAGTAATAGGTCGGCCAAGAGTATGTATTAGCACCTAATATGTTAGTATAGTTGTGATTTGAAAGGGGTAGTTCAAAGCCAAGGTAGAAATTTGGGGCATTTTCTTTCCTTATTAGTTCAGACCATTTAGCAAGTAGATGTTTTACTTACTTGCTTGATTAAAGATGTCGTAAATGCTCCTAGTTGTAGAATTTAATTAATATGTTTACTGTCTTCTGAATATCATAAATGTCCTATCAGATACTCTTTATTATTTAAAAAATTTTACCATAAAGTCTCATGGGATCAGGAAGTGGTCACCATGTACAATATCTTTTGAATCAGTTGGAAGTATTGACCACAGTTTTTTTTTTTTTCCTCATTAAACTTTTGTTTTAATAGGTCTCAAAATTGACAGATTTTTGGTCAAGTTGTTTCCATTAAAAACTACTGATTTTAAAAACTATTATCTTAAAACTGCCACACATGCTCAAAAAAGACAAATGGTCCACAAAGTATTTTCCTTTCCTTCTGAAGGTTTTACGATACATTGTGATCATTAACCAGTCTTTTACTATTAAACTTAAATGGCCAATTGACACAAACAGTTCTGAGACCATTCTTCTACCACTGATTAAGACTGGGGTGGCAGGTATTGGGGATAGTATTCATTTAGCCTTCTGAGCTTTCTGGGCAGATCTGGTGACTTTGCCAGCTCCAGCTGCCTTTTTGTCCACTGCTTTGATGACACCCACAGCAACCGTCTGTCTCATGTCACAAACAGCATAATAGCCCAGAGGAGGATGGTCAGAGAAGCTCTCAACACACATAGGTTTGCCAGAACCATGTCAACGATGGCAGCATCCCTAGATTTCAAGAACTTGGGACCATCTTCCAGCTTTTTTCCAGAATGACGATCTGTCTTCTCCTTCAGCTCAGCAAACTTGCAAGCAACGTGAGCTGTGTGATAATCCAGCACAGGTGTATGTCCAGCATTGATTTGGCCCGAATGGTTCAGGATAATTACCTGAGCCATGAAACCAGCTGTTTCCATTGGTGGGTCATTTTTGCTGTCACCAGCCACATTGCCACGACGAACGTCTTTGACAGATACGTTCTTGACATTGAAGCCCACATTGTCCCCAAGAAGAGCCTCACTCAAAGCTTCATGTGCATTTCAACAGACTTTACTTCAGTTGTAACATTGACTGGAGCACAGGTGACCACCATGCCAGGCTTAAAAACACCAGTCTCCACTCAACCCACTGGAACAGTACCAATACCACCAATTTTATAGACGTTCTGGAGAGGCAGACGCAAGGGCTTATCAGTTGGATGAGTTGGTGTCCCTTGAACCAAGGCATGTTAGCACTTGGCTCCAGCATGTTGTCACCATTCCAACCAGAAATTGGCACAAATGCTACTGTGTCGGGGTTGTAGCCAATTTTCTTAATGTAGGTGCTGACTTCCTTAACGATTTCCTCATATCTCTTCTGGCTGTAGGGTGGTTCAGTGGAATCCATTTTGTTAATGCCAACAATTCGTTGTTTTATACCCAGTGTGTAAGCGAGAAGGGCATGCTCACGGATCTGCCTATTCTTGGAGATACCTGCTTCAAATTCACCAACACCAGCAGCAACAATCAGGACAGCACAGTCAGCCTGAGATGTGCCTGTAATCATGTTTTTGATAAAGTCTCTGTGTCCTGGGGCATCAATGGTGGTCACATAATACTTGCTGGTCTCCAATTTCCACAGGGAGATATCAGTGGTGATACCATGTTCACATTTAGCTTTCAGTTTATCCAAGACCCAGGCATACTTGAAGGAGCCTTTTCCCATCTCAGCAGCCTCCTTCTCAAATTTTTCGATATTATTTTGTCGATCCCACCTCATTTGTAGATCACATGGCCAGTAGTGGTAGACTTGCCTGAATCTACATGTCCAATGACGACAATGTTGATGTGAGTCTTTTCCTTTCCCATTTTGGTTTAGTTTTAGTGGTGGTTTTCATGATACCTGTGTTCTGGCAGCAAGCCCATTGCGAAAAAGGTTGACCACCGTTTTTAAATTTCTTTTCTGCGCATAAAGGAAGAGTGTAAAGCTTATGATTTTTGTTTTTGAATTCTTTAGGAACAACTAGAAAGAATCAATGATGCTCTTTCCTGTGAGTATGAGTGCCGCCGGCGGATGCTAATGAAACGGTTAGATGTGACAGTGCAGTCCTTTGGTTGGTCTGATAGAGCAAAGGTAAGACTGTTTTCCCAGTTGTGTCCTGTAGGTGGTACTCTGTGACAGCTCTTCAGGCTGTCTTGTCTGTTATTATAGAACTGTGCCATATTTGCACTTAACCGTTCTGTCTGAAGCACATGCCCAGGCCAACTAGCAGTCTTATCTAATGATCCTAGTCCTTTGTAAATCCCTCTCTGCAGATATCTTAATTTTTCTCCAGATCCTTCACATTTATTTAAAACTCATAGATGGTGTGAGTTATGCAATAATATGCATAAAGAAGGGGCATCATATGAGACAGATATAGTAAGCGACTGGTCAAGACAGCAGAATTTTGGAATAGGCACAAGTAGTACTGATGCCAAAACAAGTCTTCTTAAAAGTGTCTTAAGGCTATGGACTGTGTTCTAGTTGAAGAGGAGGTTGGAAGCCGGGGGCATTCCCAAATAATGAATCTCTTCATATATAGCTTGCTAGAGAGCCATCTCTCCTCACTCCCATTTTATGGCTTTAATCTGTACCCAGACCTTGTTTGGGTACCCTGCTCCACTCTTCATCATAGTCTAGAAACTCTCCAAACAGTAAGCTGGGACAATTATAGGGCTCACCACATTTGCTTTCCCTGTTTCAGAGATTACTGTTTTGTGCTCCTTGATATCCAGTGTCTGAAAATCACTGGTTCACATGGGTTGTCCACTTTTCTAGTTGTTTTAGGTGGGAGAGTAAATCTGTGCCTCTTAGTCTCAGGTATCATCTTATCATCATCATCATATTTTTATATTGACCGGAGAGTTCTGCCCCACGTTGTATTTGCTGGGGTCACTTGTGCAGCTTCATTCAGCTGATACTTGTACTGGGCTGGAATATTCAAGATGGTTGTCTTCTATGTCTCAGTTCTGCTGATTGTGATGGTGCTTTGGTTGTCTTCTTGGTTCTTATGTGGTCTCTGTCTCCATGTGGTGGTGTCTTGTATTGGTTTCCTATGGCTGTTGTAACAAATTAGCATACACTTAGTAGTGGGTTAAATAATAAATATTTATTCTCTTACAGTTCTTGAGATCAGAAGTCCTAAAATGAAGGTATTAGCAAGGTTGCATTCTCCCAGATGCTTCAGAGGAGAATCTATTTCCTTTGTATTTCCCAGATGCTTCAGAGGAGAATCTATTTCCTTTGTATTTCCTATCTTCCAAATGCCACCTGCGTACCTAGACTCTTGACCTCATCTTCTTATCTTCAAACTAGTGTCAGATTGTCCATTCTTTGTCTCTTTCTCTTCTTCATTTTCTTATCACCTTTTGTCTCTTTCTTATAAATATTCCTGTGATTATACTGGGCCTACTCAGATAATACAGAATAATCTTTCCACCTCAAGATCCTTAAGTTAATAACATTGATATCTGTAAGGTAACATATTCCCAGGTCCCAGGGATTAGGAGGATATCGACATCTCTGGGAAGCTGTTTTTTATTTTACCAGGTATCTCATCTTCCTTCTGTTGGATTTTGCTTTTACTTACGTTGTATTTCTGTATTTCTATACTCCTGCTGCTTTTTTCTTAATATATTTTTTAAAATCAGGTATTCTCATGAGTCTTCCATTTTCTCTATACTTTCCCTTCCAAAAGATAATACTCCCCTATTGCAATTTTAGGCTTTTTGCATGGCCATCCTTGGCTATTCCACTATTTCTCTCATCTGGTGACAACCTTTTTCATTCTTTATTCCCTCGTTCTTCTATAGTAAATCCTTAAGTAACTTCCTAATAAAAGGTGCATAGGAGATGATTTTTCTGAATCCTTATATTCTGAAAATATGTTTATTCTGCTGCCATATTTGATTGATAGTGTGGGTAAATATAAAAATCTAGGTTGAAAATATTTTCCCCTAAGAATACTGAAGGTATCATTTCATTGTTTTCTAGTGTTTAGTACTGCTGGTGAGAAACCTGATGTCCTTCTGTGTCCTTTTAGATGACTTTTAATTTTTCTTTGGAAACTTTTGGACTCTTTTCTCTAGTCTTGGAGTTCTGAAATTTCATAGTAAGTGTTGGTATGGGTTGTCTTCCATTTATTGTGCTAAATACTAAGTGGACCTTTGAATCTGTTAGACTCTTAGCTTTTATATTTTTCTTCATTAATTTCTTCCCTTTTGTTTTCTTTGTTTTCTCTTTCTGCAATTCTTGTTAGTCAGATTTTGAACATCCAGGATAGATCCACTTAAATTGCTTTATTTTTTTCTCTCATTTACCATCTCTTTTCCTTTTTTGTTGCACTTAGAAATGTCCTCAATTTTATTTTGTTTTTAATATTGAATCTTTGTTTTTGCCATCAGTTTTTAATTTCCAGGGAGTCTTTTTGGTTCTCGAGTTTTCACTTTTTTCCTATTTTTTCCTTGTTAATGGATGTATTATCTTCTTAAATAGAGATGAAAAATTAAAAAAAAAATTTGTCTTCAATGATCTCTTTCGTCCAGGGTAATTTTTGGTTGGTTTTTCTTAGTTTCTTTCTTATGGTGGTTTTCTTCAAATGCATGATGGTTCTTGGTTATTCATATTTAAAAGCAAGACATTGAAAAGCTCTATTTTGCTTTTTAGATTTCACATATAAGTGAAATCCAAGGGTATTTCTCTTTCTCTGGCTTATTTCACTTAGAATTATACCCTCTAGATTCATCCATGTTTTTACAAATGACAACTTCATTCTTTTTTATGGCTGAATAATAATTCCATTATTTGTGCATATATGTGTGTATACACACAGACAACCTTCCCACATCTTTTGTATCCATTCATCTATCAGTGTCCACTGAGATATTAGGTTGCTTCCATATCTTGGCTATTGTAAATAATTGTAAATAATTCTACAGTGAACCTGAGTTGTATGAGTTCTTTATATATTTTATATATTTTGGACGTAAAACCCTTATTGGTAATATCGTTTGCAAATCATTTGCAAATCACTTCTCACATTCAGTAGGTTGTTGTTTAGTTTTTTTGGTTTTCCTTGCTATGTGAAGACTTTCTTTTTTGATGTCTCATTTGCTTATTTTTGCTTTTGCTGTCCTTGCCTGAGGAGACAGATCCAAAAAAAAAAAAAAATACTGCTAAGATGCTAAGACTGATGCCAAATAGCTTACTGTTCTCTTCTAGGAATTTTAATATTGGTTTCAGTTCTTATTTTAAGTCTTTAACCCATTTTGAGTTTATTTTTGTATATGATGTAAGAAGGTAGTCCAGGTTCATTCTTATGCATGTAGCTGTCCAGTTTTCCCAGCACTATTTATTGAAGAGATTCCCCTTTCCCCCTTGAATATACTTGCCTCCTTTGTTGTATATATATATATATTTTTTAAAGGTATTTTTTTTTTTTATTTATGATAGTCACAGAGAGAGAGAGAGAGAAAGAGAGAGAGAGAGAGAGGCAGAGACACAGGCAGAGGGAGAAGCAGGCTCCATGCACCGGGAGCCCGACATGGGATTCGATCCCGGGTCTCCAGGATCGCGCCCTGGGCCAAAGGCAGGCACAAAACCGCTGCGCCACCCAGGGATCCCTCCTTTGTTGTATATTAATTGACCATATAAGCATGGGTTTATTTCTGGGCTTTCTATTGTGTTAAAGTGATCTATGTGTCTGTTTTTTTGTGCTAGTACCATACTGTTTTGATGCTGTAGCTTGTACATAGTTTATAATCAGGGAGTGTGCAAGTCCAGCTTTGTTCTTTCTCACAAGTACTTTTGCTATTTGGTATCTTTTCTGGTTATATATGAATTTTAGTATTATTTTAGTAGTAGTATTCTGATTCTGTGAAAAATGCCATTGGTGTTTTTATAGAACTTGCATTGAATCTGTAAATTACTTTGGGTAGTATGGACATTTTAACAATATTAATTCTTCTAATTCATGAGCATGGCATATCTTTCCACTTATTTGTGTTGCCTTGAGGTTCTTTCCTCAGTGTCTTATAATTTTCAGTGTACAGGCTTTTCCCCTCCGTGGCAAAATTATTCCTAGGTTTTGTTTTGTTTTTTTTAATGCAGTTGTAAATGGAATTGTTTTCTTAATAGCTCTTTCAGATAGTTTGTTATTCGTATATAGAAACAACAGATTTCTGTATATTAATTTTGTATCCTGCAACTTTACTGAATTCATGTGTTCATTTTAATAGTTTTTTTGGTGGAGTCTTTAGGGTTTTCTGTATATAGTATCATGTCATCTACACATGACAGTTTTGCTTTTTCTTTTCAGTTTGGAAACCTTTTTTTCCCCTAGCCTAATCTCTGTGGCTAGGACTTCCAGTACTGTGTTAAATAAGTGGCAAGAGTAGGCATCCTTGTTTTGTTCCTGATCTTAGAGGAAAAACTTCCAGCTTTTCACTGTTGAGTGTGATGTTTACAATAGGTTTGTCATATATGGCTTTTATTATGTTGAGGTATGTGATCTACTTTGTTGAGATTTTATCGTTAATGGATGTTGAATTCTGTTAGATATTTTTTTCTGCATCTATTGAAATGTTCGATCATGTGACTTTTATCTTTCATTTTGTTAATGTGTTTCACATTTGATTGCAGATGTTAAAACTTTTATATATGGAATAAATTCCACGTGATTATGGTGTATAATCTTTTTAATGTATTGTTGAATTTGTTTTGCTAATCATTTGTTGAGTTTTGCATCTATGTTTATCAGAAATATTGGCCTGTAATTTATTTTTGTTACTGTCTTTGGTTTCAGAGTAGTGGTGGCCTTTTCAAATGAGTATGGAAACATTTCATCTTCTTCAATTTTATGGGATAATTTGAGAAGGATAGCTATTAACTCTTTACATGTTTGGTAGAACTTAGCTGTGAAACTCTGGTTCTGGACTTTTTTTGTTGGGAATATTTTAATGACTGAATTTCATTGCTAATAATCCTATTCAGATTTTCTTTTTTTAAAAAAAGTATTTTATTTATTTATTCATGAGAGACACAGAGAGAGGGGCAGAGACACAAGGCAGAGGGAGAATCAGGCTCCATTCAGG